AATCAATATCCCAGAAGGCAGTTTTTGCTCATTAATATTGCGAAATATGTTGCTTACCGTCTTCTATTGTTGGTTCACAATTTAACTTTCCCCCAATTTTTATACTTTCTTCTGAAAATTCCTGGGTCCAGTGTGCAAATTCGCATGTGTGTACCAAATGCATCAAAATTCTTGCTGAGAGCTGTAACCTCCGCCCACCAAACCAGCATTGCATTTGATGGAGGGAATACTACCATTTAAAATGCTCATCGGTTTTTCACAGTTTTCTTAAAAGACAGTAAAGTCTTTGAAGGGATGCCCGCAACCGTCGCCAAAAAGGTGGTCCTAGCTAAATCAGTCAAAACGGGGCTGCACCAGTCTTGTGCTGGAATGGTAGGACACCCTAGCAGTTACTGATCGATGGTGCACAGACGCTCTAACGAAGTTGATTGACCAAGAAATTCTAATAAATGTGCTCATCTGCCTACTCACGTGTGCTCAAAAAGGGTGCGTTTTTGACCCCATGTAGGCAAAAAAGACTCCGGGAAAAATTGTCCAGTTGAGCTGGTAAGTAATAAATTTTCCACCAAACAGTGCAGACCCTACTCTAACTAAATGTATACATATTTTGTCCAGGCCCAACTGTTTAGCAAGGTAGAGGGATGATTTGTCAGATGATGTCAAATTCGACCTACCTCTCTTTTTCGTCTCAAAAAATTCCTAACTTTAATCGTACGAGGTTTTCACTCATACTGGTAAATGGGAAAGGGCTAATGAGTCATTCGATGGATATGCCGTTTCACTCACTGGATTTTGAATTAAAATATTGGTGGTCCGAAACTCGCTGGGCGTGAATAAAACGACACTAAGTATACTCTCGCGTAGCCGTAATAATGTGCGGCAGCAGCATCCGTTGGTCCGTTATGAGCGCCGTTTGATATCAACCCCTTCTGCGTGGCCACTCCGTCGTCAATCGAGCAAAATACGTACCCGCTGTCGAGGATTTATTCAGCCGCTGCCCTCCCAATCAAAAGCTTATATAGTCTAACAGACAGGGCGCTCATGAACCCGGACGACAGAAAAAATGTTGAAAAATTCAAAAGATTGTTTCTCTAAGAGCTATTTGATAAGTGCGAGTGAGTTTCTGAATATTTCAAAAGTGTCCGTTCCCGGTTGCTGCCGTTTTTTTCCTTGATTTTGTTAAAAAGCCTTGTACCTGGAACGCGCCACGTTGCAAATCTTCGAAGCCATATCATATACGTCTCTTCACAATTCATTTGATGAGAAGCGTAAGACTGTTTTCTAACGCAAAGCAGTATCCTCAATATGAGTGTGAAATTGTCGCCGCCCAAGTTCTTTCTTCTGCCGGTGATCTTCGAGAGAGGTTCTAAGACTGCCTTCAGGCAAAGTTTGGCTAACATGCTTGCTAACGCCATATGATTTGCTATCGAAGTCATCAACAGTCTCTTTGCGAAGTTTGTATGGCTCACGAAGAAGGTGGTTGTCTCCTGGGATAAACTCTCAACTCGATAAACGCCTCCGCTTCGGTATAACGTCCGTCACCTGTCGTGGTTAGAACTTCCACTAGCCATATTGAAGTTTCCCATATTTCTGCGTTAAGAAGTGTGTTAGTATCAGTGAATGGAGTTGACATTGTGCTGTATTACATGGGTACTCGTGTCTAGTTTCATCTTCCCCATGAAACATGCTCTAGCGCACATTGTTTTTCTGGACAGGAGCGTCTCGAGTCATCCGACCAGACAGTTTTGCGCAACCTTGTGCTGTACCAGTTGTGCCTATTGTAATTTGATGCTATGCTCGTCGAGCGAAGCGCCTCTCGTATTAAGGATAATAATGGCTGATAGTGAGACTTATAATGCTCTGCATGCTCTAATGCTCCCATGGAGCTCTTGTCTGTGTGACTCTCCGACAGCACGGTGCAGAGCTCCTGGAGAACATTAGAGCGTGAAAGTGCACTGCCCGGACACTGCACTTTTCAAGCCGTCTTGCAGCCGTCTCTCTGGATACGACCCCCTCCCTTTTCGGTCGGCTGAATACGACCCCCTCGTTGTTCTTTGCGCAACGGGCGGTTGACCCTGGATACATAAAGGTGTATTTGACCTATACTCACATTCTCTTACAGACTGATGGCCTGGTAAAACCTGACATGTACAAATGGACAAAACCAATAATTTATTGCAGTATCCTTACTGGAACCTTTCACTAAAAATCAACATTGTGCCGCTTGAATGACTTCGCGGCTAATTGCAAATTGCATACTAGGGAATTATTATTCTATATAAAAACGCCTAGCAGCTAACTAGTACTTGCAACACGTATTTAATCTACAGCTAAGACAACTGCCAAAAGTTGCCATTCACAGTTGATAAGCAGGGTACTAGTTCCTTGTCACCGATCATTACAGAGCAAAACAATTTAGAACTAATGAATGCTAAACTACTATGGAAGATATTTGATCCGGACTAAAAAAATGAGTGGTTCTGTTAATCACTCGTTGATGGGCATCTTGGAAACCTAAAATATTAAAGCGCTCAAGCTTTTTCCAACAAAGATACGCCGCTCATATCCTGAGGTATGGGAAGTCCCATAACGGTGAGGACAGACGGTGCAACATCACAGAGAGCTGGTGCTCGATCAGTGAGCTGAAAATAAAAAAAAATCAATTTCCAGAATATGTGACTTGATAGCATAATGAAACCTACCTTCTTGAATTTGAATGCGTTACTGCTACAAGTGAACGGTACACGGTTGCAGGTGTGTGCCGTGTGTTTGCTTCCATCAGGAGCCTTCATCTTCTCAGCATTACCATGATCAGCTGTCACCATGAGCACATAACCTGCAGAGTAGGATCTTATAAAATTCGAGTAAAACCTTATGCACGGTCAGCAGAGGGGGATACCTCACCATTAGCTTTGCAAGCCTCGAAAATCCTTCCGATTGCTGTGTCAGTAGCCTCACAGGCTTTGACAGCGGCTTCGTATACCTAAAAGGGTTAAAGACATTATAATGGAATAAACTTAGGTAGCCTAAACAATAATCGCACGAAACTGCAATATTAGTATCTTAGACTTACTCCTGTATGGCCAACCATATCAGGTGGCGCAAAGTTGCACATGACGAAGGGATGCTTCTTCGCATTAATCTGCTCTACCATTTTGTCGGCTACACCAACTGAAGACATTTCCGGCATTAAATCATACGTTGCCACCTAAAAAATCGCTTTCCCAAAATGTTATGCATCGGAGCGGAAAGAAAAAAATCGAGTTGCACCTTAGGACTGGGGACTGGGACCATGCATCTCTCCTCGTTCTCAAACTGTTTCTCAACTCCACCATTGAAGAAGAAAGTCACATGTGCGTACTTCTCTGTTTCAGCACAATGGAACTGTGTCAGCTTCTGAAGACCCAGTAATTTGAAAATCGTTTTTTACACCATTGCAAGTTGACGTGGGCATGAAATACCTGAGTAGCTAGCCATTCAGCCAGCACATTTTTGTTGGAGAGAGGAGGGAACAGCGTCGGGAACGGGAACTCCTTCTTGTACTGCGTCATACCTACAGGAAATCGTGATAATACCTGTATATTTATGTAACCTATATAAAAACCAACCTATAACTTGAACATCTTTGGGATGAGGCAGTGACGATTTGCAATCTTTATAACGCTCCATTCCCATCACCTAGAACGTCGCAATGAAAACGTATGACTTTAAATCCATTTTAAAATGGTTACCTCTGAAATCTCTCTCATTCGGTCGGCTCTATAATCGAAGAAAATGAGCGTGTCGCCGTCCTTCACTCTGCCCTTTTCCCCATTGAGGATGATTGGCTTGAGGAACTCGTCAGTCTCTTGGGCTTCGTAGCGCTTTTTCACTAGAGCCGGAGCCTAGGGAGAGCAAAAGTAAGTTACCGTGAAAATAAGCAAATGTCTAGAGGAGATAAATGTTCTGATAAACACCTCGTCGACAGAGCAGGCCTCGCCTTTACCACCGATCATGGCTTCGTAAGCCACGCAAATCCGTTCCCAGCGCTTATCACGATCCATAGCATAGTAACTGAAAATCGATGTACTTGACAGTAACCAGACAATATTTCCAACTAAGAGAATTCGAAAGTTCCCGTTCAGCACAAATGTTCTCTCGCGAATCGAAAAAAAGTTCCCATCACAAATTTTTTTATACAACCTAAAACTTGTTTCCTGAACCCGACAATAGCGCCCGGACCGCCAACACGGATTTGTGAAACCAGTAAATAATCGAAAACTGGTAGAAGAATAATGCTCACCGTCCAACAATGGTCGCCAAATGGCAATACGATTGCTCTTTCATGAAAGCAATGGTCTTTTCGAGGAATCCAACGCCACTGGTTGGTGATGTGTCACGACCATCTCCGTAAAAGTGAAGGAAGCATTCAGGCACACCCAACTGCTTGATGCATTTAATTAAAGCAAACAGATGAT